TTCCCTTTACCATACTACCTTCCAAAGTGAGAAATCTGCTCGGAGGCAGGCTGTGCTTCCCAGGTGAGGCTGGGGGGAAAGCTGGCAGGATCTGTATCTTGTAACCTAAGGGAAAAGTGACCAGTTCCAGGGATGCCTTTTTCTCAGTCACAGGCCAGCCATATTCAGCCCTGTCCCCCTCTCCTACCTCTGAATTCTGGGAATGACACATGTGGTGAGGGTAAGCAACACAGTAGCCAGGGCTTCAGCCCAGAGCAATCCCTTCCTCTTTGGAAAAGTGCATCCAAAGCCACTGAACATGCACTCATTTATTGTTACTGAATGTCTGCTCTGTGTGCCAGTCTATTCTCAAAGAACTTACAGTCCAGTGTAAACAGATGGACAGAATATGGTGGGATAAGCGTTACAGGAGAAAAGCATGGATGCTTTGAGATCATAGAAAGGGGCATCTGACCAGCCTGCAGGGGGCAGTGGGGGAAGCTTTCCGGAGCAGGTGACTCCTGAGTTGGGTTCGGAGGGAGATGAAGACTGGCCCAAGTGAACCATTCAGAGGAGGACTCAATGGAAAGAGGAAGAATGATAGAGGACAGACAAGTGTAAAGTCACGCAGGCCAGAAACTCTCTGCCATGCCAGGAAGTGCCAGCATTTACCTGTTGCTGGGATGCACAGTTCTAGAAGGAGAGAGAAGTGGCCAGGTAAAGCCAGACAAGGAGGTGGGGGCCAGCTCTGGAAGACTTTTGCGTGACTGGTCAAGTCATTCAAGCTGTTGTTTAGGCAAAAAGGAATATTTTAAGGGTTTTAAGCAAGGGACTGACATGTTTAGATTTGGATTTTAGCCAGCCAGCCTTGGCTGCTTTACACTGGAGGGAGGACTAGAAGGTGAACTTGGGACCTCAGAAGCCAGTTAGGAGGTTCTGGGTGGTGTAGGTGAGAAACTATTGAGGTGTTTCTGGTGGGAAAAGCACAAATCCTCAGTCTGAACATCATTTCCTTTGAGCCTGGGAGAGAGCATAGAGCTCTATAGCTAAGGCATCACAGGTTTTATGCACCTGGTGCAGCTGAAAATACCCTGCTATGCATTTTACGATCAATTTGTATCTTAGCATCTTTATATGGTTGGCAATTGACTTACTGTATTTACCCACCTGTTTCTTTGCTGAGCATCAACAGCTGTGGCACAGAAGCAGTTATGACTTGTCATTGTCAATAAAGCCTCCCAGGATGTGCCTGTGCTCGTGTCCCTGGCTGGAATATTTGGTCATATGGAAGCAAGACAGGGAAATAGGACAGGTTTGGTAACTGGCTCCTTGCTGCCATCTCCCCAGCTGCCATTTGCATGTGGAGGACACATGAAAGTGAGCTCTATGGTGCCTTCCAGCTTCAGAGCTTCAAAGCCAGACATCCCTGTGATTGTGTGCCAGCCCTTTCATAGAGCACTGACCCAGCTCACAGCACTGCCCCCAGCCGGCCTGGTCTGGGAGGACTTACAAGACCTTTTGCAAGGCCAGCTGTACACTGCCTGCTTCTCAAGAAACCATGATGCGAGGGGTTCTGTGGTAGAGTCTCTTCTTAAAGCTTTTCCATGAAAGGAGAGGTTTGGTCCTGCCCTATCACAGTATCTGTGAGCCATCAAGATGAACACTGCACAGCTTCCCGTGGTGCTGTTCTTCAAGTGTTGTGTATTTATTTATACAACCCTCTACCATTTGGGGCAGGGCCCTGGTGACTGCCGCTGGGGCTGGAAGTAATTATGGCATTCTGCAGGGAGGTAGCACACTCATCACATTCTAGCCGTCTTCCCTGGCATTGCCTTTGATCCAGGTTTTGCTGGGAAAGTAGCCATTAAGAGATGTGTATCTTTGGTTTCATTTACATGTGAGAAAAGAGAACTAAATTGGCAAATGGATGTTTTCATGTTCTCAGAGATCGCCTCCACCCAGTCTGTGCCCAGAGTCCTCAGAGCCACCCAGGAGAGCACCAGCCCCTGACCCACACTGCCACAGAGCCACTGGAGGCCTGGGACTGAGCCCCTACCCTTCAAAGGAAGGCACCCAAGGTGTGCACTCAGGTGTAGGAAGATGTTCTTCCTTCTTTTCCTTTTATTTATTTATTTAGTTAGTTAGTTCATTAAGCAAATGAAAGGACTTTGGTGGGTTTCTGAAGTATTCATGATTATATAATTTTTTTTCTATTACATGAGAAATAAAAGCTTATTTATGAACATCTAAAGACTAGTGAGAATAAAAATACTCCACAGGTTACCCATAACTCCATCATCCTAAAATATCTAGAATGTTGACAAATTTCCTTCCATCATCATCATCATCATTATTCATAGAAGTTTTTGGTTAAACATAATTGCTTTTATGCTATACATCCAATTGGGGCCTTGCTTTTTTCCCCTTTAATTCATTTTAGTAATTGCACAATGTTTCATCAGGTAATAGATTCAAGTGTATTTATCAAAATTTCTGTTAGATATTTAAATTATTTCTAAGTCACACTGTGATAATTAGCTTTACATAGCTTTTCTTTTTTCCATTTTGGAATTATTTTTCTTTGCACAGATTCTGAGACGTGGGACAGTTGGGTCCAAGGATTGAATCATTTTATGCTTCTGATACATTTTCCATATTCCTCAAATTCTTTCCTAAAAGTATTTTTGTCTGTTTATGCTCTCATTAACAGTGGCACACTCTAGCACTGGGATTCTCAGATTTATTATTTAAAAGTGATCATTAAATAGATGGAAGAGGCTGTGCCAGTATAGTGCTATTTCCTCTCTCTCTTTCCTTCTCCATCTTTTCTCCCTTCCTTGTGATTTCTACTGAGGCTCAAGAGTTGTCCATCTTTTATCAACAGTTGACCACAGGGCCCTAATGCCTTAAACTAGGCTTCCAGAAGTTCCCAGCATCCAGGAGACACCTCTCTGCAGGGCTTCTGAGATGCTAAGGCCTCTTCATATCAGAGAAGTTGGTAGTCTTCACATCTGGAAAATGAGGGTTTGCATGCCTAAAAGCCTTGTCTAGCTCTCATGTCCTAAAAGTCTGCTTCTGCAACCACCTAATTATATAACTTGGTCTGGTGGGGGTCCCATGTGTCTTGGGCATATTTTGGACTATCTGTTCTTACTGCATCTTTGTGGTCCTATACCAGCTTCTAGACTCAGAAATCCTTCCATCCGGAAAGCTGTTTGTGTGCCATGATTCCATAAGGAGCCACCCCAGAATTGGCTTCTCTCATTTCCTCTTACTGTGACAGCAGAGAACCCTAAGCCTAGTTCCACTTGAATGTTGTGGGTTGTAATGACAAACTAGTTTGGTCTGTGTGGCAAAGCTCTCTTATCCACTTGGCCACAGGGGTAAGTTCATGTACTCCTGGGCATTCAGGTTTCTTTCCCAGAAGTAATCGGAGCATCTCAAGTTCAACTCCTCAACAAACTGGGTCTGCACCTGGCCAAGGACCTCAGCACAATGGAGGGGGTCCTCGGAGGGGAGGAGACCCACCCTGAAGATGAGTAGAGACTGGTGGAAGATGAGGGAGATTGAAATGGTGACCACGCTCCCAGGCCCTGACACCCCATTTCCTACAGTTCTAATTCTATGCTCCCTTCCCATTCTAATACCCTTCCCAGCAAAATGAACTGATACAGTCTCTTTTGTGAGGTAAGCAAGGTTGATGTGGACTTTCCCTAGCCACTTGTAAATAATCCCCACTTAACAGAGCAGCTGTGAATACTTTTCCCGTTCATTCCTAATTGAGATGCTTTCAGATTTGTCCTATCTTTTGTGTGAAGTTTTCCTTTTGAAATTTTGTAGATTCACAGGAGGTTGCCCTAATAGAGATCCCATGCACCCTTCACTGGAATTCTCTCCGCGGTGACATGCTACATAATTATGGTTCAGTATCCAAACCAGCCAGCTGACATTAGTGTAATGTACAACTTCAATTTTGTTTTTTTATTATTTATTTTTTAAAGATTTATTTATTTCTTAGAGAGAGTGAGCATGAGTGGGGGAGGGGCAGAGGGAGAGGGAGAGAATCTCAAGCAGACTCCCCATTGAGTGCAGAGCCCGATGATGTTGGGCTTAATCTCATGACGCTGAGATCATGAAGCTGAAACCAAGAGTAAGAGGCTCAACTGACTGAGCCACCCAGGTACTGCTGTTTTTTTATTTTTTAAAAGAGTGCCTAGCTGTGCTTATAGGTATAAGTTAGAACCTAAATATTGTACCTGATGAGGAAGAAAGGCACAGGGCAATTATGCTCAGGTGTGACATGTGAAACCTGGGCAGGTGCCATGTGTTCCCCTCCTTGAGTGCTGGCTATGTCCCAGTAAATCAGGCACTAGACACATGTTACCTCCTAAGCCTCATGACAACCCTGTAAGCCCACTGCTAGCATCAGGATTCCTTTTACAGAGAGCAGGAAACCAAAGCTTAGAGCAGAGCCAGAGTTTAAGCCCACACAGCCTGTCTTCAGAGCATTCTGCCCAAGCATTATGCAGTGTGATTGACAGCGGAGGGTAGAATTTTTCCTAAGCCTTTCTGGACTGGACCTTTCCTCAACATCCTACTCTTCTTTCCCCCTTTTGCCCTCTTCCTCTGTCATGGCCACTTGGGCTCCTGAGGTGAACCACTGTTAACAGCTATATTTATGGCTCTCTCAGTCTGCATTCCCTGGATGCACCCCTCAGGAGATGCCACACCCCTGTATGCAGCAGGTGGGGCCAGAGGGGAGGCTGTCTTCAAAAATTATTGACTGTAGAGTATCAGGGTTCTGGCCTCACTCTCTAGGATTGCTTCTTGGTGGTTTAGTGCTGGGAAACAACAACAACAACAACAAAAAACCCCAAACTCCCAAAACAAAAACAGGAGAAGAGAGCCTTGCACAGCAGAGGAACACATTTACTTATCAGTTCATGGCTTCAGCTTTCATCACAAGATGGTGAACATGGTAGAGTTGTTGGAGGTAGTGGGTTGAATAGTACCCGTGTGCCTCACTCTGGGGGTGGTCAGGGAGGTGGGCATTTAGGAGGACAGGGCTTGGAACACGGCTTGGGGGGACAGGGAGCTGGGCATGGAGGAGGGCACGGTGGGGGGCACAGTGATGGACACGGTGGACACTTTGGTGGTGTTGGGCACTTTTCCCGTGGGCACTTTTCAGAGCACCGTTGCAGCAGCTTCTTTAAACAGCTGGGCTGGCATTTGGCTTCACACTTTTGTTCACACCTGGGATCACAGTTCTTGGGCTCATTCTTGGGTTCACTAGATTTATTTTTATCATCGCTCGACATTCTTTGATTTTCTGGGCCCTGTAAAGAAACATGCAACAGGTCATATGTGAGAGACCACACTGCAAGGTGGGAGAGGACCAGCAAGGTTTCCCACTCACACCTCCTGCCCATCCTTGCTTTTATGAAAAACGTTCCTGGAATGGTTCGGGCTCTAGACCAAATTCTCATTTAAGGGCTGTCCTCTTGTCCTTGGAGTGGATTGGTGACAACGTTTCTTGGTCTCTTCACCCTTACCCTGATTTTTGTTCACTTACACTTGTCTTAATTCCATATCCCCCAGCAGGAGTTTTCAACCTAGGGTCCTGGAATTGCCCGCCCCCCCCATGATAAAACCATATTTAATCATATGTTATCAATATAATTGGTATCTTTTGCAACTCCATGTCTTTTAATTAATTCATTTAAGTACATTGTTCTGAAGTCATGAATTTGGTCAGACTGCTAAAGGCATCCATGCCACAAGGGTTTTAACAATTCCTGTAGGGTTACCTCCCTAACCCTCTGGAGATGGAATGAGAGGGTATATTAGTGGGTTTAGGGACTCAGGACACTTCTTTCATTCCTCTGTCTTCCCTCTGCCCTCAGAGCCTTGAGAATTGCTTTCTTCACTTGAAAACTGGGAATGGGAAGCTAATTGAATCTCTACCATGGCTGGACTCCCATCGGTTACTCTGTGACTCCTCCCCATGATTAGGGTAAGGGAAGAACTCAGGAGAGGAGGAGATGAACTGGGAAATTCTAATTCCTCTGAAAATATGAATTTGAGATCCACAAAATATGATTTTAAGGAAGAATTTTTTTCCTCCTCTGTTAAGTTTTGCCCTGAGTTAGGTCTTCTGTGGATGATTTGACTTCTAGATATGAACAGGGCTTCTCAGTCTGTGACAATACTTGCAAGTTGTATCTAACTGGCACTCCTTTAATTTCCTTTAACAATATAAAAGTAAAAGTTTATCTAATTTAGCTTTAAAGGCAATATGGGTCCCTGGAGAAATAAATCATTAAGTTAAACTCCAAAATTGTTAAGAATCTCTCTTTCAAATGAGGCATAGCCCAGTTCTTGTTACTGAAAATGAAAGGAAGCTTTCATTCAAAAATAGCCATCATCTCAACCCTGTTCAATGCCTGGGGTGCTTTAAGTCACTCTTAGGAAAGGAGAGGAAAAAGACGGGGCATTTGCAGTTGTCCAAATGCAACTCACCCCTTTGTGTTGGTAGTGAACTTGATAAGTAGTCAAATGAGATGGATGGTATTGCTGTGTGTGAGAAGGTGGATTTTCCCTCTGGTTCCTCTGCCTAGCTCTGAGGAAGCCAAGGGTGGGGGGTGGGGAAGGAGAGCCCCACTTGTGATCTCATCACTGCATCATCAGGTAGCGATTGTTGTGTGACTCCAGACCTCCCAGCTCAACTCAAGCCCTTGAGAATATACTGTGCTTAATCACCCCCCTTTGCTGTCCTGTTCCCTCTCAGGGTCACTCAAAATTCATGCTGGTGAAATCAGACCATGGTGAAGGTTACTGAACTCTAAGGATAGGGAGGTTCATTGTTGCTAGGAGCAGAAAAGCTCTGTTTACACATGGTCTCTCTTTCCCCCCAAATTTTAGATCCTTTGAACTTGCCCCTTCTCCACCTTTCTAGGAGAGCTTCCCAGATTGCTCACAGCCATTTTGATTCTCTTCCTATTTTTCTAATATCAGATTCTAAAACCTCTTTTTACCACTCCACACAACCTAGCCAAAGTCCAGGGATTATTTTAGCTCCTTTTCTGTGTTTCTGCTTATAACTCATTAATTGTTGTACTTTGCAATTGTTTATTCAATCAGGGAGTGGCACCCCTTGATATCCAAGGTAAACCCTGCTTACTGTAAAGAACTTGAGTCTGATGCCCTTGACCAGTTCTAACATACTGGGTTAACCCCAGATCCTGTTTTAGAGTAGAAAGGCTTTGCCTCTGAGAAAGTTCCTTCCTTGCCTTTTCAAAGGCCTGGCCAGTGGGTCTCTGTAGTTGGAGCAGGGGTGTGTCTGGGGTGGTAGGAGGATGTTGGTGTGGGAAAGACAAATGGGGTGGAATACATAGTGCCTTGAACTCAGGAAGTTCATCTTGGCAGTCACTCACTACCAGCCACAAGTGACTTTTGGTTAAAACGGTGAAATGATCACATCTAAGGTGTTGACAGAAATTTCTGACAGCAAAGGGTGGGATGGACTGGGGGATGGGGCAAAAGCTGCACTAGCCTGTTTCAAAGAGATTATAAACATCTCCAAGTCTGAAGGAAGGCAGTGGTAGTGGTAGTGAAAGGGTGCTGATAAGAGAAATATCACCAGAGAAGCATGTTTATGGGATTCAGTTAATGGGAAACTTAGAAGAAAATTATGAAAGATGACTCCCAGGTATTATTTTTAATGGGTGCTGAGGAAACAGAACAGATTTATGTTAGAAGAAGATGAGTTTAAGTGTGAGCACATTGAATGTGGTCGCAGTGGAACATCTTGAATGGTTATTGGAAATGTGGCTCCAACTCTGTGCCACTGAGCAGACTGAGACCTTGAATTTGATTCAGTACCACATGTGTTTGCTGAGTGGATAAGGATGAGAGAGGATTGGAGGAGAGAGAGAAAAGGTACTGGGGAGGATGGGGAACCTCAGTATAGGGTTTATTTGGTATTTACAAAGGAGAAAGAATGTCATACACAATTGAAACCCAAACAAACCCAAATAAAAGGGGAGAGTGGGCCAGAATTTAACTCCCTGCCACCAGGATAACTGGTATTAAACCCATTGTATTGGTAGAGCTTACCCCTCAATACTTATTTTCTTTGCTCTATACTTTTCATTGTTATGAACTCTAGCTCTTCAAAGCTGTTGAGAAGCAATTTCTGTACTCATCTCAAGAGACTCAGCTCCACCTACTGTTCAGCTCTGGACCAAAGCTAGCCATCTGGCTATGGAGAAGGCAGTTATTTGTGATGGTGATGTCAAAAGATGTGGTGATTTGGGGGCACCTGGGTGCTGCAGTCAGTTAAGCGTCTGACTCTTGGCTTCGACTCAGGTTGTGATCTCGGCGTCAGGAGATCAAGCCCTGCGCTGGGCTCTGTGCTCAGCTGTAGCCTGCTTACGACTCTCTGCCCCTCCCTGCCATGTGTGTGCTCTCGCTCTCTCTCAAATAAATAAATCTTAAAAAAAAAAAAAAAGGAAAAGTAGATGTGGTGATTTCTACTGGCCTTTGTCTGCTGTCCTCTTCCTCTCTCTCCTTTCTTCCCTCTCCTATTTCTTGCTCAAGAAATTCCCACTGAATGAAAGTATACCATCCATTGGACGTTCACCAGGACATTTGTCCATCATCTTTTCAGTCTTTAAAACCCTCCTTTAAAGGCCAAGACTCCTGGCAGTGTTATGTTAATCTCCTGGCTATCACCCTCACCTTTGGCTTAGTGTTTGGTCAACAGCATGGCTGGCAGCAAGGCATACCGAGGTGAACACAGAACAGCTTCTAGAGCTGCTGGGTCTCAGAGGGAAAGAGGTTGGAAGGGGAGAAGAATGGGTGTCAAAGCCCCTAGATTAAGAGTGAGGACACTGGAGTCAGATCCCTAGGTTCAAATCCCACCTTCATTTTTTACTTACCAATGTCCCCTGGTAATTGACTTTCTAAGTCTCAGTTGACTCATCCATAAAATGTGGTAATAATAGCACTAATTATAGGACAATATGTAACTTATATTGAGTGCTTACAATATGCCAGGCACATTTCCAAATGCAAAGCCTACACCCTACACTCTCACAGTACCCATAGTTTGCTGGGAAGATTGAATGAGATTCTATGAATGAAGTACAAACTTCTAGGACATTTTGTCCTCAGCATGATTTCTCTGACCCTCCCAGGCTGTTAGTAAATGTTTGCTGTACATGTGAGTTACTATGTTTGTCAGTGCTTTCCTGACCCTTTCAATCCCTTGCCTTGCTGGATCTCCCCCTGCTCCCCTCACCAGATCTTGGCCCTGAAATCCCACTTCTCCATACCATTTTTTTTCTGCCTTCCAGCCAAAGTTCCTGATGGAGTTCACAGGAATATTAGGTAAGCAGACCATTCAGTGGTTTATCTGTGTGAGCCTGCAGGGTCTGTATGCCTACATATTATATCAGACCAGGGAATTCTATGTGTCAGCAGTTTAACTTCACTTGGACCCCCCTCTCTGTTTTTTAGGTGAAGTCTTCTTTTTCCATCTTTTTTTTTTTTAATCTCTCTGTGTAATTCCTATTGAATAAATAGTCCTCACAGGATAAAGTCAGAAACCAACTCTACTACTCCCATTGGTGCCTCTTAAGATCCTCTCTGTGGGGCTGGTTCTTCCCTTCCTCCTGGGATGGAATCTCTACCATATGCTATACTTGTAGGATCATGGTTAGACGATAAGTTCTCTAGTCACTTCTATTTATTCTAAACAATCTTATTTCAGTAATTAGAAGGTATATTTCCCTGAATGTTGGATTTCCTTCTCTTTTCCTCCGGGACCAGAAAGGAAATTTGCTTTTTCGAGTTTCTACTCCTCTTCCTTCATCTGCCCAACTGCCCCTGGTTTCAGGAAAGGGGCTAGAGAGGGAAGAGGCAGAAGGGACAGGAAAATTCTTACCTGAATGATATTTTTCTGGTGTCCTGATATCTAGGAGTTTTCTGGGCTTGGTAGGTGGTTAAAGCTGACCTTTTCTCTTGTGGGGAATTTAAATGTATTCTTCAGGGGACCCTGTCACCCCTCATTGGGATGTTAAGCATGGTGCTGATTGTGTATAGCTCCTATAGCACCTAGGCATCTGGCAGCTCCCCTCCAGCTTCTCTCTGCTGCAATTACCTCCCCTCCAGGCAGCCCTATTGGATAGGATTTCACATGGCACAGAGAGCCAGCTCTCCCTCTCTTGTGGGCCATATGTGGCCCATGGGAAACAGTCATAATCCTCCCCTTTCTTTGTTCAATTACTCTTAGGGATGTTTTCCTGATGTTTATGGA